AACCCCATTACAAAGTGGGTTAAAGATATGAATAGGCACTTCTCAAAAGAAGACATATGAGCAGCCAGCAGATACATGAAAAAATGCTCAGCCTCACTAGTTATCAAAGAAATGCAAATTAAAACCACACTGACATACCACCTAACTCCAGGAAGGATGGCCATCATCAGTAACTCAAAAAACAACAGATGCTAAAAAGGATGTGGGGAAAAGGGGACACTTCTACACTGCTAGTGGGAGTGTAAACTAGTACATCCTCTGTGGAAAACAGTTTGGTGATTCCTAAAAGGTCTAAAAATCAACACTCCATATGACCCCAAATCCACCTATTGGGAATACACCCAAAGGAACTCAAATCACTCTATGAGAAAGATACCTGCATATGCATGTTTGTTGCAGCATTGTTCACAATAGCAAAAACACAGAACCAACCATGCTGCCTATCAAGAGGACTAGAATGTTAAAATGGGTACATATACACAATTAATATTATGCAGTCATAAAGAAGGACAAAATTATTAACTTCACAGCAACTTGAATGAACTTAGAGTATTATAATACTGAGTGATATATCACAGAAACAAAGAACTGAGTATCACCTGTTCTCATTCACAAGTGGACCTTGAACAGTTATTGTAATACTATAAGAAAAGAACTCAAAAAAAAGAAAGAAAAGAAAAGAATTTTCAGTAGTAGGAAATTGCCGGGGTGGGGTGGGGAGTGGGATTGGCAGTCAGTAGCGGGATACTGCTAGTCGGGGGGAGGGATCACCTCATCAACAAGGGTACCTACATAATGAACATTTGTATACTTAACCCTGAATTGTACCCCACATCTTTAAAATAAAAATAAAAAATTTAAATTTTTTAAAGAAGACTTAGAACTGGGCACAGTGGCTCATGCTTATAATCCCAGCACCTTGGGAGGTGGAGGCAAGGATTGCCTAAGCTCAGGGGTTCAAGATCAGCCTGAGAAACATGGCGAGACCTCATCTCTACAATAAGTCAAAAAAGTAGCTGGGCATAGTGGCACATGCCTGTAGTTCCAGCTACTTGGAAGGCTGAGGTGGAAGGATCACCTGAGCCCAGGAGGTCAAGGCTGTAGTGGCCATGAGCATGCCACTGCACTCCAGCCTGGGCAACAGAGACTCCAACTCAAAAAAAAAAAAAAGATTTAGAATAGCTAAAACAATTTTGAAAATGAAGAATAAAGCAGGAGAGATCACTCCATTTGATGCAAAGACTATTTCTACAGTAATCAAGATAATATGGCATTGGTGGAGGAAAGGAGACAGATCACTGGGACAGAATTAAGAACCTAGGAATAAGACTAACAAAAGCACACTCAACTGATTTTTTTACAAAAGTGTAAATGCAAATTATATTTTAAGTGTTTTTTGTTTTCTGTATAGTATGATGCTTTGCTATCTTTAAAAACTTTTTGGCTGAGTGAGACTGCCTCTCCCAGAGTTAGCCAATTCTTAGAGCAAGAGACCCAGCTAGGAACACGTCTTTGATAGGCATACTAACCAATCCAGTACCATACCTCCTCTATCTGGACTGTAGACCTAAGAGGTACTATTCCTCTGCCTTAATCACCCCAGGGCCAGGGATCACCCTTATAGTCTAAAGTCCACAGAAATTATTCAAACTAGACAATCCTAAACTATTCACCCTGCCCTGCCTTGCCTTCCTCTTAGAGACCCTAATAAAGGCAGTAGCCTAAACCCTCCCCTTGCTCCTGTCTTTCACCTCCTGCCCAAAACAGCTCTTCCCCATGTGGCCCTGAGCAGCAAGCTGTGTCTTCTGTCTGTCTACCTGTGAATATAATAAACTTCATTTTCCTGAGACTCTCCTGTGTCTTCACTTGTGGCCACACCTGCCTGACCATCACATTAAAAAATATAAACATAAAACATGATCCAAGGGGAGGAGGATTCAGTGGTGCAGAACGTGTTGAATATCCACAGGCAAAGAAACGAACCTCAACTTAAACCTCACCCCTTGAACAAAAATTGACTTAAAACAGAAATTAGAATTAAATCATGAATGTAAATGTCAAACATAAAATTATGAAACTTTTAGAAGAAAACACAAGAGAAAAACCTTTGGGACCTAGGGCTACATCAAGAGTTCTTACACAATACCAAAAGCACAATGCATAAAAGAAAATCCTGGTTAAACTGGATCCCATAAAAATTTAAAGCTTTTTCTCTACAAAAGACCTTGGTAGGAGGATGAAAAAACAAACTACAGACTGGGGGGAAAAAAACTTCAAACCTCATATCTAACAAAGGATTACTATCCAGGTTATATAAAGAATACTCAAAACTCAACAGTAAAAATACAAACAATTCAATTAGAACATGGGCAAAAGATAAGAACAGACATTTCACTGAAGAGATACAGATAGCAAATAAGCACAGAAAAAGATATTTAACCTCATTAACCATTAAGGAAATGCAAATTAAAATGACAATGAGATATCATTATGTACCTATTATAATGGCTAAAATAAAAAAAATAGTGGTAACACTAAATGCTGGCAAGGATGTAGAAAAAATAGACCTCATACATTGCTAGTGGGAATGTAAAGTGGTACAGTCACCACAGAAAGCACTACAAAACTAAACACATATTTATCATATTACCCAGTAATTACACTCCTGGGTGTTTATCCCAGAAAAATGAAAACTTACAGCCACACAAAAATCTGTACATGAATATTCACAGCTGCTTTATCCTTAATATCCAAGAATTAGAAAAAAACCGCAAATGTCCATCAACAGGTGAATGACATTCAATGCACTACTACTAAGTAATAAAGAGGAATGAACTACTGACACAGGCAGTGACTTGGACGGCTCCTCAAGAATGTTACAGTGAATGAAAAAGCCAATCTCAAAAGGTCACATACTGTATGATTCCATTTATGTATCACCCTGGAAATGATAGAGCTACAGAGATAGAAGACAAAGAAACTGTTGGCAGGGAGCATGTTGGGGGCAAATAAGACTGTAAAGGGGCAGCACAGGGCATACCCTACATGGTGGTGGGACAATTCTGTGCTGATTACGGTGATGGTTATATGAACCTACACATGGGATCAAACTGGAGAGAAACACACATATACACACACACAGAGTACATGTAAAACTAAAACTGCACAAGGTATGTAGTCTAACAACATTGCATGATATCAGTTTCTTGGTTCTGAGACCGTACTATGCTTATATAATGTCCCATCATGGGAAGGTGGAAGAAGAATTCAAGGGATTCTATGTACTATTTTGTAACTTCCTGTAGGGGAAAAATGTTATAATAAACATATTTGTAATTATGAAATTAGAAATCTGAACATATAAAAAGGTAGACAAGAGTTTTGAGAATTCCTATAATCTCGAGACTGGTCCAAGATAATAACTTTAAACATTTTTGTATATTTATTTCTAGTCATTTTTCTTAATATAGTTTTTTGGGGACTTGGGGAGAAGGAGATTAAACACAGTGAGATGATTATAGTTTAATATCCTTTTTTCTCTTAACTTTAGTAAAATACATAACTCAAAATAAGGTGTTTCCAAAATGATGAGAAACTCTTTATGACCATATTTTAATGACTATTTAGTCACTCTCTCTTAACTCCTCTCCAGAAAAGTCGTTACAAGAGAGGTAATATAGTAAAGTGGCTAAGAATGTAGACTGAAGCCAGGTTTCTGGATCCAAATATCAGTACCAACACTTGCTAGCATAACCTTCAGTGAGTTACTATTCCTCTGCATATCATTTGCTTCATTAAGAAATGTACGCCGGGCTCGGTGGCTCAGCCTGTAATCCCGCGCCTTTGGGAGGCTGAGGTGAGTGGATTGCCTGAGCCCGCGAGTTCGAGACCCGCCTGGGCAGCGAGACCTCATCTCTACAATAAATCAAAAAATCAGCCAGGCGTGGTAGCGCGTGCCTGTAATACTGGCTACTTGGAAGGCTGAGGCAGAAGGATCGCCGGAGCCCAGCAGGTCGAGGCTGCGGTGGCCAGCAGCGGCCACTGCACTCCAGTCTGGGCAACAGAGTGAGACTCCAACTCCAAAAAAAAAAAGAAATGTAAATATTAATAAATATACTATGTACTTAAGTCACAGAGTTGTTATGAGGATTAAATGAATAAATAAAATACTTAGAAGAGTGTCTGACATATGTCACACATTCAATAAGTGTTGCCATTATTATTACCTATATTCTTGGAATGGTCTTTCACCTGCCCTCCTCGGGAGGTTCTCTAATAAAAAATAAGTCGCTTTTCAGTCCACATCAAGAACGCTGACCCCTAAAGCCAGCTCTTTTCTTTTAATTTTAATTATCTTTATCTTTTAATTGTCTTTTCTTTTAATTTTAATTATAAAGATGTGGGATACATTTCAGGTTTAGGTATACAAACATTGATCATGCAGATACCCTTGTTGATGAGGTAGGCCCCTCCCTCCCCTAGCATATAATCTTAAAACCGTCTCAGGTATGTCATGAATACACTTCCACTGTGGTGGAGTTACCCCTGAAAAGTGACTCCACACCTTCATCTCTGCCCAGTGGTATGTGTGGCTGACGCAGCAAATTCTGAACCCTCTGCGGGACCAGCTGAGGAAAAATAACCCTAGAAAGGTCAAAAATTGGAAAGAAGATAGATCATCAAAAATTAATGAAGTGATCCACTTGACTTCCATGACTATTCTCCAAAAACTTTTAAACTTCACTGTGAAAAAAATGAGTGTTGAGATAACAGGGTGTTGATCCACTATGTTCACAGACTTCATACATTAGAGGAGAAACAGGGATTTACACGGAGATGGTGACAGCATCAGATGCTGTTACCAGAAACTCAAAACTGGTTCCAATTGAGAAAGTATCTGAGTAAGAATGAAAATGCAAAAAACCAAATTTTTAAAAGACACCTGAATGTGTCACTGTGTCATCATGATTGATTCCTGTACTTGAACACAAATGTCTTACCTTTTCTTTGATTACAACTGGTTTTAGAGGCCCAACTCAAACGCAGGCTCTGATAATTTGTATCTTCATCACAGACCAGAGTTCTAGTCAAACAAAAATCTATAACTGCCATTAAAAAAAAAGAAATGTAAGCACCATGCTAACAAGAAAGCATTACAATAAATCACAATGCACAGTGATGAAACAACACAAAACAGTCTTAAGAATTAGTGTATAAGGGGGACCCAAAAAACCCAGAATTTATTTATAAAAAAGTGTGTATTAATTCTTACATGTTCAAACTTCAGTCTGCTTCAAAGTACTTGCCATTTGGCACAATACAGTTATCAAGACACTTTTTCTGCTGCACACAACAGTTTTTGAACTCATTAATTTTGATGCCTTTTAGTGTTTCTTCCATATTTTGTTTCACCTCTTCCACATTGACAAAACATTTCCATTTGAGGATGTTTTTCATCCGGAGAAACAAAAAAAAGTTGCTCAGGGTGAGACAAAGTGAATAGAGCGGGTAGGGCACCAGGATCATGCCAGTTTTAGTCAAAACCTGATGAACACTCAGTGTGGTGTGGTCAAGTACATTGCCATGGTGGAAGAACTAGCCACCTATCTGCCACAATTCAGTATGTTTCTTCAGCAAATCATCTCTCACAACGATGCTAACTGGCCTGCTAACACCAATGGGTTCCTAGAACATTTACCTAGCAAGTAAAGTCTGTAGTACAAGGGGCCCACCCTCCGAAAGATAATTCCAGTTTTTTGGTGGGTGCCCCTCATACACACAAAAAGATTTGGTAACATGCTGGTCATTACTTACTGCCCAGAGCAAGGCGTTCATGGTCACATTATTTATTGGTAAGGACTGGGAGTCTTTGGGCACAAAAGATACATAACCTGTAAGACCCAATGTGTCATAAGAAGGGCCCAAGTGAACTGCACTCAAAAGAGGAATGTTATCCAAAAGAGTATCATTACAACAGCAGTACAGAAGAGTGGTTAATGCACTGGACTACCAGGATTCAAATCCTGTGTCTGCTTATCTGTGTGGGTTTGCGTGGATGTGTAAAAGGGTGACTGGAGACAAGCTGAGTGTCTCTGAGTTTCATCATCTTCATCTGTAAAACTCAGGTGTGACAGAGTCCCTGCAACTTCTCCTGGAGAGTCCCTCCCATTTGACTATAGGAAGGGCTGTCCTCTGAAGATGAGGGCTGTCTTCTCTTCCCCACCCTCCCATGCTAAGCCTGAAGGGCAGCAGGGGTCCTCACTTCTCACTGCTATTTCCCTCCTCAGACTGTCCCATCACTGCCCTTCCAGCCCCAGGCTCCCAGTCCTCTCACTCTCCAACATCATACCTGCCATGATTTTTGGTAATTTCAATACCTAGAAAACAGTTCTGGCTGCACAAAGTTTCTCAGTTCCTTGAGCCCCTCTCCTCCAATGACCTTGTCTCCACCTTGTCTTAGCAACTTCCTCCTGTAGCATGCCACCAGCAACCTCTGTTGGATCACAACTTCAAGCTTCAGTCTCTGGAGCCAGCACTCCTACACTTACACTTTCTGGCTCCTGAAGCCCACCCTCAGTCATCCTTCATCCCCACTGGGACCCCCATCCCTCCCTCTCACACCTATTAGCCATCCCTCACTTGCCACCTCATGGCCTCACTTCCCTCCCGACCCGTGACCACAAGTCCAGGAGCCACCAGTACAGTCACCCCTTGCGTGTACCTGGGACTCCCCCACCTCCTCCTCAGCTCCATCCTATGGGTCTGCTTCAGCCACTGCCTTGACTAGTGACTGCTCTGCACATACACTGCAGCTAACGTGGCTGAGGAAGAAAAAACAGAACCAGGCCAGTGCGCTGACTGCCCCTCCATTCCTGCTCACTGGCCTCAAGTGGCCCTCAGGACTCCCATTCCCAAAGCCAACCACTCTCTACCTTTGGATGTCTAGTTTGTCTTTTCTTCACACCTCCATGTTTGCCCCATTCTCGCTCTCAACTGATGCCTATGCTTCTAGCGTGCTGAGAAGGCAGAGGCAAGGAGAAGGACTTCCACAAGCTCCCTGGGCCACAATTCCTCGCAAGCCTGCCCCATCCTCACACACTCAGTCTTGCCCCGTGACCACAGATCCACTGCCTGTCTGCATCACCAGCCACTGCACCATTGCCCTCACCCAGTCAAAATGCTGCTGGGTCTCCCATCAGGAACACAGGCTCTCTCAATTCGGCCTCCCCTGCACCTACTACCCTGTTTCCTCTACTCCCACAGGGCAAAACACTTCTGGAGTGTGGTCCAACACAACCCCATCTGTTCTTAGTTTGCCTCCTCCCATTCTTTCTTGAGCCTATTCAAAGTAGATGTTTGCCTCCACCGAAACTGCTCTTGTCAACGTCCCTGATGGTAGCCATGGCGCCAACTGCCACAACAAAACTTCAGTCTCCTCCTGCCCGACCCATCATCAGCATCCAAAGTGCTCATCACCCTCCCCAAAAAACCCTTTCCTACTTGCTTTCTAGGCCTCCTTACTCCCCTGGTTTTCTCCCTGCTCCCCTGGCTGCCCCTCTGCAGCTCTTTTCTCCCACCTCTCAACACTGAGGCTGCCCTCTTCTCTGCATTCCTAGCTTCACATACCACTGACTGACTGACTGCCCCAGTTGCTGCCCTGCCCTACTCTCTCTCCAGGCTCATACAGCCAATTCCTTCTGCAATATCACCAGCATCCAGCAGCTTCTCAGACCAAATCCCAGCTCTTCCCCACCCCACTCTGCCCTTTCCACAGGCTTTACCATCTCACAGGATACTCCATTTTTCCAGTTTCTTAGGTCACACGTTCTGAAAGTCAACCTTGCTAAGTCTCTCACAACCCCCATCAGATCCCTCAGCAAATCTTCCCGCCCTCAGAATCTTCCGCAGAATCTGCCCATATCTCCTGTCTTCTACTCCTGCTATTCTGTTCCAGACCATTGACTCTCACCAAGCTTATCATGACATCTTCAAACTCACCTCCGTCTTCTCTTCTTTGCCTCATTTCCATCTATTCCTAAAGTGATCCTATTAAGTGAACTTCAGGTGAAATCATTCCTATACTCAAAATGCTTATTCTCACCTCACCCAGTACAGCAAAGTCTTGACCATGCCCCATAAGGCCCTGTGCAGCCCAGAATCCCTCATCCCCTGGAGTCTCCTCTGACTCCTTTCTCCTTTGCTCATGCTGGTCCTGTTCCTTGCTGTTTGGGGACCACACCAAACATGCTCTCTCCTTAGGAGCTTTGTACTTTCCATTCCTCCTACCCAAAACACTCTTCCCCAATACCCACATGACTCATTCCCTAACCTCCTTCAGGTATGTCTTGAATATCACCCTCTGTAGAAGTTTCCCTGGCTACTCCATCCACTTTTCAATGGCCCTTCCCTAATAAGCCCTATTCCACACTCCCTTACCTTTTCTTCTTATAGTGACCATCACTTTCTTGCTACCTATTTTCATTTATCTTACTTATTGCTTACCTTACCAATACCTACTCTTGAACGTATTATAAGAACAAAGGCTTTTTCTGTTTTGTTTACTACGATTTCCCTGGCAAAGATAAACACTCACTCCCACTCATCTGCCCTGGTTGATCCACTCCAGTCACACTGGCCTCTGGCAGGTCTTCACACCTGTCCCTGTGCCTGAACCACATTTGAGCATGACTTGTTCCTCATCCCATTCAGGTCCCTATTCAAACGTCACTGCCTCAAAGAGGTACTCCCACATCAACCTATCTACAAGATCATCTTTTTCCACTAGCTGTAATCCTTTTCCCTGATTTATTTTCCCACATAACATTTATCTCTACCTCAAATTATAGCTATTTACCTGCCAGTCATCTGTCTTTCCCACCAGAATGTAGTCAGTCACCATGAGGACTGGGACTAGGTCTTATTCACCACTGTACTCCCAGCATTAAGAACAGTGCCTGGCACATGTGTTAGTCTTCAAATATGAATTAACAAATTTTTAAAAATCACTAGAAACAATCTCACAAAGTAATCACAGATGCCTATGTAGAAGACCCAATGACCGAGAGGCTTGCTGGAGAGTTAACAGGGTATCCTTCCAAGCCACTTTCAGAACAGAGATGGCTTGGGCTCCTCCTCTAATACCTGTCTCCCTCCGTTCACAGAACTCTCCCTGAGCAGCTCCAAAGCTTGTGGGAAATCCCACAAGGCCTCTTAAATTGCCCCCCAAATGCTTCTTGAGAGCAACCTTGCCCAAAGCATGTTCAGAGGAGGAAGGGGTGAACTGAAAGTATGGGAGCTACTTTTCTAATGCTCTCTTCCAAAACAGGAAGAGATAGGGAGGAAGAGAAAGAACAATTCCTGAAGGGATGAATAAACCAATAATTACAGTACTACAGTTTGCGTCAGGGGGTAAAACAGAGAAGTATCTTACCATATTTGACATCTGGAACTGTGACAGAACTCTCTGCAATGTTGGTAGACAGAATAATCTGTCAAACATCAAGAAAAAAAAGCCGACATTCTTACTATATTCTGGACATAATTAGGCAAAGTTAAAAAAGAAACTTGAGGCCAGGTGCAGTGACCCACACCTATAATCCCAACACTTTGGGAGACTGAAGTAGACAGACTGCTTGAGCCCAGCCGAGGTCACAAGGCAACATAGTAAGACCTCTACAAAAACAATAAAAATAATAAAATAAAATTTAAAAATAAAATAAAATAGCAAGGTGTGGTGGCACATGCCTGTAGTCTCAGCTACTCTGAAGGCTGAGGCAAAAAAATTGCCTGAACCCAGGAGGTCGAGGTTGTGGTGAGCTGTGATCATGCCACTGCACTTAAGCCTTGGCGACAAAGTGAGATACTGACTCAAAAACAAAACAAAACAAAAAAAATCTTGAACTCAAAAATTATTTAAAAGCTCCTTAATGTATATACTTAACTCCAACTTTGAAATTAGTCCGTTTTCTATTCCGTACAAGTCACAATTGATCAAGTAGCCACATACAACACAGCAGGTACTTAATCACAGGTAGGCAAGACACAAGGCAGAGACCTGTTCCTGACCTCTGAACAGTAGATTTGGGGGGTCCTGGAATTGCCCAGGGTAAAAAGCACAACCAGTTAAAATCCAGAAGAAGGGTTATAAGCCATACTTGCCCCGGAATACCATTCCAGGTCCAAGTGGCCCCTCTAGATTCCAAACATTCTCACTGAAATCAGTGGGGCTGGGCTGCAAGTTCAGGGTCTCTAATCATCTCCAGCAGCTCTAGAAGGGTCATGTTAAAATAATTTCATCATTCACACATAGCCTGAGATTAAAGAAATCCTCCTAAAGTGGGACTTAGGAAATGGCTTCTGACCAAAGTCACCAGAGTAGTACTAGGGAATTGGAACAGTCCCAAAGTTTGAGAAATGCCAAAGAATAAATAAAAGGAATCAAAATTCCTGAATTGAGGAGAAAAAAAATCTTAGCTTTTTAGCAAACTGGTTTCCAAAATAAGGCAAAATTAAATAGCATACATGGTTCATCAGGCAAGTATTTGTTTAGGTGACAATCATAGCTACAGAAATACACTGCAAAAACAAGCTAAGGCACTAACATTTTTCACTAGTAAAGTCTCCAAGAAAAATGTACCTCAAGTGCTTAGAACCTGTCTTCCCAGCTTTCCTACCTTTCTGTACCCAGGAACTGGACTTAAAAACACATTATTCTGTTCTTCTAAAGTCACACTTGAATGGAGTGGATAGACCTGCAACCTAAGAAACAAATTAGTAAAATAAAGTATCCATAGAGAATACATATACATGAAATTTAAAAACCAGATAACCGTTAATTAAAATTATTTAAGGCGGCCGGGCTCGGTGGCTCAGCTTGTGATCCCAGTACTTTGGGAGGCCGAGGTGAGAGGATTGCCTGAGCCCGCGGGTTTGAGACCCGCCCAGGCAACTTGGTGAGACCTCGTCTCTATAACAAATCAAAAACTAGCCGAGTGTGGGCGCGCACGCCTGTAGTTCCAGCTACTTGGAAGGCTGAGGCGGAAGGATTGCCAGAGCCCAGCAGGTCAAGGCTGCAGTGGTCGGGAGTGGCCACTGCACTCCAGCCTGGGTGACAGAGTGAGACTCCGACTCAAAAAAAAAAAAAAAAAAAATTATTTAAGGCAAAAATAGTGCAATGGTTTAAAAGTAAAAATAAAACTATATATTTAAATATACCTTTTGTGAACCATGTTTGTAAGAAGTTCATGCATATAGTTTATCTCACCCAGGCCTAGGGAAGAAAAAAGTAGAAATAAAAGGGGAAATAAACAAACTTGTATTTATTACCAAAACTAATCCTTAAATTAAAACAATGCCTTTTTCAGAGAAGGCCCTCCCCATTTTCTTGACTTTTTATTCTCTTTACCCTAATATGTCAGAATCACAAGTAAAGAAGCACAATGGCGCCGGGCTCAGTGGCTCAGCCTGTAATCCCGTACTTTGGGAGGTCGAGGTAAGTGAATTGCCTGAGTTCGTGGGTTCGAGACCCGCCTGGGCAACTTGGCGAGACCTTATCTCTACAATAAATCAAAAAAATTAGCAGGGCGTGGTAGCACGTGCCTGTAGTTCCAGTTACTTGGAAGGCTGAGGTGGAAGTATCGCTGGAGCCCAGCGGATCAAGGCTGCAGTGGCCGGAAGTGGCCACTGCACTCCAGTCTGGGTGACAGAGTGAGACTCCGACTCAAAAATAAAATAAAATAATAAAATAAAATAAAAAGAAGCACAACGGCACTGATTAGTCAAAACTCAAAAATATGGGAAACATATTCTTCCAGTTTTCTTTTCCACAACAATGACTCCTTGGGGGTATTGGCTATATGAGGAATCTTATATATCTTTTTCCTCCCAGATTTTCCAAATTTTCTACAATGAGCATGTAAAATTGTTACAATCAAAAATAATATTTTTAGGCCAGGCATGGTGGCTCAAACCTGTAATCCCAGCAGGTTGGGAGGCTATGAAGGGGTTGCCTGAGCCCACGGGTTCAGGAACAGCCTGGGCAACTTGGCAATACCTCATCTCTACAATAAATACATTTTAAAAATTAGCTAGGCATGGTAGTGTGTGTCTATAGTTCCAGCTACTTGGAAAGCTGAGGCAGAAAGATTGCCTGAGCCCAGTAGGTTGACACTGGGGTGACCATGAGCATGCCACTACACTACAGTTTGGGCAACGGAGTGAGACTTCAACACAAAATAAGAAGAAGAAGAAGAAGAATATTTTTAAAGTCTTGGTCATAAAGATATACTAAAATGTTTTCATTCAGTTTAAATAATGGTTTTAATTAGGATTTTTTTGATATATAACACCAACATATTTCTTCCTTGTTTTTTTTTTTTTCCTGGAGTCAGGGTCTCACTCTGTCACTCAGGCTGGAATACAGTGGCACAGTCATGGCTCACCATAGTCTTTACCTCCTGGACTCAGGCAATCCTCCCACCTCAGCCTCCTGAGTAGCTGGGATTACAGACAAATGCTACCATGCCAGGCTAATTTTTTGTAGAGATAAGGTCTCACTATGTTGCCTAAGTTGTGTATGTGCTTTTGCCTCATCCTGGATTTTCAAAATTCAAGCCTGTTATAGGCTTAATTGTCTCTCCTAAAAAAATATATTGAAGTCCCAACCCCAGTAATTCAGAATGTGACCTTACTTGGAAACAAATTCATAATTAGTAATTAAGATGATGCTATACTAGAGCAGTTTGGGCCCTTAATCCAAGATGACTGGTATCCTTACAAGAAGGAAAGAGACACAGACACACAGAGAGAAAATACTGTGACAACAGAGGCTGAGACAGGAGTGATGTAGCCACAAGTCAAGCAATGCCAAGAACTGATGGCCACCACCAAAAGTGAGAAAGGGACTGGAAAGAATTCTAACCAAAGTTTGAAAAAGAGCATGCTGATTTTGCACTCCAATTTTGAAAATCTATCCTCCAGAACAGTGAGTGAATAAAGTACTGTTGTTTTAAGTCATCTGTTACAGCAGTCCTAGAAAACTAACACAGGGTCAGGGAAGTGAGGGTTGCACAGGGCCACGTCCATCACTGGCCTTAGTGTCCGGGGCAGGTGCCACTCCAACCTAGGTGACAGGTGACAGAGTGAGACCCTGACTCAAAATAAATAAATAAGAAATCTTTTTAGTAGGATAGGTACAGTGGCTCACGCCTGTAATCCCAGCACTTTGGAAAACCATGGTAGGAAGATTACTTGAAACTAGGAGTTTGAAACCAGCCTCGGCAACATAGCAAGACCCTGTCTCTACAAAATAAAATTTTTAAAAATATATTTTTGGAAATACAACGGTTATAATAAGAAGCCAAAGTAAAGTCACATTTGTTCATGTATTCAATGTCTAAAAAGAATAAACACATGTGGAGAGTACCATTTTTCATGATATGTGCTAGGCTCAACTTAGCCTCTATCTAGAGTATAATTCCAGGTCAAAAAATTACAATATTCACACCTGGCAAAAACACCAGCACACTGCTTCGTTCCAACACAAACTGCGCACTTGACCGGGTCTTGTTCCTGTTAAAAAAGTAATATACACAAATATTAATCAAGACTATAACAGCTGTTGCCTTTTCAGAATCCTAAAATTACAGGCTTTTGATCTTGAAACACAGAAGCCCAAAGATATGAGAAAACACCCAAGGTCCCATGATCATTCAGGGTACACCAAGCCTCCTACCTCCCATTATTTTGTCTCACTACCGAACCAGGCATGCTGGCTCATGCCTGTAATCCCAGCAACCCAGGAGGCTGAGGTAGAAGGATTACTTGAGGACAGGAGTTCAAGACCAGCCTGGGTAATATAGTAAGATCTCATCTCTAAAAAAATTTTTTTCAATTAGCTGAGTACAGTGGCACATGCCTGTAGTCCCAGTTACTCAGGATACTGAGACAAGAGGAACACTTGAGACCAGTTTGAGGTTACTGTGTCTACTGCACTTCAGCCTGGCTTACCCTTTTAGAGATAGAGCAAGATGATGTTTCTTAAAACAAAGCCTCCACATATTTACGGAAGGTTTTCTTTAAATTTTGTTATCGCAATCCAAAACTTCAAAATACAAAATATTTAACATAACTCGTCAAAGTTTAAACTTTAAGGAGTCCAAACTATTATTAGAAAGGATTTTTGACTGAGCACAGTGGTTCACGCCTATAATCCCAGCAATTTGGGAGGCAGAGGTGAGAGGATTTCCCAAGTCCAGGGGTTCAAGACCAGCCTGGGCAACTTGGCAAGATCTCGTCTCTACAGTAAATCAAAAAAATTGCTGGGTATGGTGGCGTGCACCTGCAGCTGCAGCTACTTGGAAGTCTGAGGCAAAAGAATTCCCTAAACCCAGGAGGTCAAGGCTGCAGTAACTATGAGCATGCCACTGCACTGTGGCCTGGGCAAAAGAATGAGACTTCAACTTGGAAAAAAAAAAAAAGGATTTTTACAGACCAAGATCTCAAATCATCTACTTGCCTCTCCACTACTGTCAATATGTTTACTTTTGTGTGCAATTAGAACTTTCATTCCTCCACAAACCTGTGAGCCCTTCCCACACGCAAGACCCTCCTCTGTGCAGTGAGGATACAGCCATAACATGACAGACAAGATCCCTACCCTTTGGCGCTTACATTCTAGCTGGAGAGACAGACAAGAAACAAGAAAACAAGCAAGGCACCTTCAATTCAGCAACAAGATCATGAAAGGAATAAACAGAACACAAGAAAGAAAGCTGAGAGGAATGGCTCTGTATATGCTGTGCTCATTCAGAAAAAATGTTAGGAAGTCTCTCTGAGGAGGGAGCAGAGGAGCTAAGAAAGCAGCCTTGGAAAAGCCAAGAAACAGCAATTCAGACAATGCATGGGAACAGTCACTACAAAGGAGAAAGGGGTGCAACACAGGTGGCTCCGTGTACCATGGCAACTGCTCCTGCTGCTTAGTCATCTCTCTCTGAGCCATACCTACAGTCGGAGACAGCAGCTACCAAAATAAAAAACACAGGCCTGGTTGTGGATGGGCCCACCTGGATGCTGTCAACAGCCAGGAATGACCATCTGCAGCATCACAGCCTCACTCAGAGGAGACACTCACACATAGTGGAAAAGGGAACTCCTCCCGCTCCCCGCCATGAGAAGCAGCCAGACAGTACCTCTGGTGATCTACTTTGTGAGGTCAGGCTCACCCCAGTCAACAGGCTGAAGCCAGCAGGTTAGCCAGCTGGTCAGGGACTTGGAAATGACAAGACTAGAATCCTGATGATAAGGAGACCTGATGAAGAGGCAACTGGACCTCTGGAAGTGTCAAGAAAATGTCCACCACAAAGCAGCCACAATGGAGGAGATTTTCAGTCACCAAATGGCGGAAGGCCCTGCCTGTGGATGTTAGCCAGCCTCCTTCCCCAGGCTCCCCAGGGCTGGTCAATGCACTAAGTAGTCATGGGAACAAGGAAGAAGGCTTGTCACAGACTCAACAACCCACTTGTTCTTAACCAAGGCTGATATGACTGCTGTCACTGCTGAGTACTAACCTGCCAAGGGGAGGGGCCAGTGCAAAGTCCCAAATGTGGCATCATTTCCTGGAGAAACATCTCAGTCAACTTATGTAAATTGATTGTATCATGAAGTGGACAGTTGTTTTTCTTTATGGGAATAGATACATATCCTATTCTGGTTTCAAATTTGCCTTCCCTGCACCTAAAGTTTCTGTCATACCACTGCCCATGGACCTATAGATGCCTTTTTCACTTTTGAAGTTTCCTACACAGCATGGCCTCCAGACAAAGAATGCAATTTCAAGGTAAATGGGCTCATTAAATTCAATTGTACTGACACACACCCAAAGGCAGCTTGCTTCAAAGAATAATGAAAATGCCTACTAAAGGCTCAGTTATTGGGCCAGTTCTACGGGAAGTGGTAAATGCCATAAATAATCAAAGACAAAGAGAAAATCTTGAAAGCAGCAAGAGAAGAATGGCATGCCATGCACAAAGAAAACCCCAATAAGAGCCAGGCTCAGTGGCTCAGCCTGTAATCCTGCGCCTTTGGGAGGCTGAGGTGAATGGATTGCCTGAGCCCATGGGCTCGAGACTCGCCTGGGCAACTTGGCAAGACCTCATCTCTACAACAAATAAAAAATCAGCCAGGTGTAGTAGTGCGTGCCTGTAATTCTGGCTACTCGGAAGGCTGAGGTGGAAGGATTGCCGGAGCCCAGCAGGTCAAGGCTGTAGTGGCCAGGAGTGGCCACTGCACTCCAGTCTGGGCGACAGAGTGAGACTCCAACTCAAAAAAAAAAGAAAAGAAAACCCCAATAAGTTTAACAACTGACTTCTCAGTCAAAACCATGGAAACCAGAAAGCAGTGGGATTACATATTCAATGTGCTCAAAAAATTCTGTCAAACAAGATTCCTATATTCAGCAAAACTATCCTTCAATATTGAAGGAAAATAAAGACTTTCCTAGATAAGTAAAACTGAGATAGTTTTTTGCTAACAGACCCACCTTACTAGAAATAGTAAAGGAAGCTCTTCAAGCTGAAAACTGGCCCCAGGCACTATTTCAAAGTCACATGAACAAAGCTCTGATAAGGATAATTATGTAATGATAAAAGACACTATAAATACATATTTCACCTCCTTCCCTCTCTTAAATGATCTAAAACGTAACTGTATAAAATAACATATATATAATGTATTGCTGGGCCTATAACAGAAATGTAATATATATGTAATATATTAGCCAAAGATATCACAAAGGAAGTCCTGCCTGTGGATGTCAGCCAGCCTCCTCCTTCTCCAGGCCCCCCAGGGTTGGGTAGGAACAAAACTGTAATGAGTTAAGGAAATGACAAAAGACGGTAAGGTAACTATTACAACTATGTATTGTTGAATTTGTAACACTAATAGATGCAATACATATAAAAGTAGTAGTGAGAAGCCAGGTGCAGTGGCTCACGCCTGTAATCCCAATACTTTGGGAAGCAGAGGTAAGAGGATTGCCTGAGCCTGCGGGTTTGAGACCAGCCTGGGCAACATGGCGGGACCTCATCTCTACAATCAAAAAACTACCTGGGCGTGGTGGCACACACCTGTAGTTCCAGCTACTTGGAAGACTGAGACAGAAGGAGCACCTGAATCCAGCTGGTCAAGGTTGTAGTGGCCATGAGTGTGCCACTGCACTCCAACCTGAGCAACAAAGTGAAACTCCAACTCAAAAAAAAAAAAAGTAACAGAAAAGGATAAAAAGGAATAGAGCTCTACAGAAGTTATGTTTCTATATAACACTGAATTAAACTAGTATAAATCTGAAGCCAACTTGTCAAGGTAAGGTGTATGTGGTAAACCCTATAGCAATGCCTAAAGAAAAAAGTAAAAAATTCAGCAATGGAAGCAAAATGCTATATTACAAACTATTTAATGAATGCAAAAGAAAGCAATAAAATAGAAAAAGGAATGAGAAGGGCATGAGACAGAGAGAAAACAAGAGGCAAACGGTCAACATAAACTATGCCAATGAAAATTAAATGAAAATGGATTAAACAATCTAATTAAAAGTCAAAGATTGTTAGGCTAATGTTTAAAATATGGGTCAGGCACAGTGGCTCATGCCTGAAATCCCAGTAGCTTTGGAGACTGAAGCAGGAGAGTTACTTAAGCCCAGGAGTTCAAGACTAGCCTAGGCAGCATAGCAAGATCTTGTCTCCATAAAAGAAATTCAAAAAATTAGCCATGTGTGGGTATGTGCCTGTAGTCCCAGCTAATCAAGAGGCTGAGGCAGAAGAATTGCCTGAGCCCAGGAGGTCAAGGCTGTGGCAAGCCCAGCAGGTCCAGCCTGGGTGACAGAGTGACATATATAGATCCCACTCAAGCTGTGTTGTCTATAGAAGACACACTTTAGATTTAAAGACAAAAATTGACTGAAAATAAAAAGAAGAAAAAAGTCTCTCATGCAAACAGCAATAAAAAAATGGAATGCCTATACTAATATAATATAAAATAGACCTTAAAATTAAAAGTGTTACTAAGGCCGGGCTCGGTGGCTTAGCCTGTAATCCCAGCACTTTGGAAAGCTGAGGTAAATGAATTGCCTGAGCCCATGGGTTCAAGACCAGCCCAGACAACTTGGTAAGACCTCATCACTACAATAAATCAAAAAAATTAGCCGGGTGTGGTAGCGTGCACCTGTAGTTTCGGTTACTTGGAAAGATGAGGTGGAAGGATCGCCAAGCCCAGCAGGTCGATGCTAGGGTGGCCATGAGTATGCTGCCATGAGCATGCTACAGGACTCCAGCCTGGGAGATGGAATGAGACTCCAACTCAAAAAAAAAAAAAAAAAAAAAAAAAGTTTTACTAAACATAAAGACATCTTAAAATGAAAAACAGGTCAATCAGGATGATATAACAATTGTAAACATATATGTATCTAACAACAGAGCATCAAAATACATGAAGCAAAAACTGACAGAAATCAACAAACAAAAAGACAATGCAATAACAATTGTTGAGGATTTCAATGTCTCACTTTCAATTATATATAGAACAATCAGGCAGAAGATCAACAAGGAAATAGAAAACTTGAACAACACTATAAGCCAACTAGACTTAAGAGACAACTATAGCTGGGTGCGGTGGCTCACACCTGTAATCCCAGTACTTTGGGAGGTAGAGGCGAGAGGACTGCCTGAGCCCAGGGGTTTGAAACCAGCCTGGACAACTTAGAAAGACTTCGTCTCTACAATAAATCAAAAAATTAGCAGGACGTGCTGGTGCACACCTGTGGTTCCAACTACTTGGAAGGTTGAGGCAGAAGGATCACCTGACCCCAACAGGTCGAGGCTATGGTGACCATGAGCATGCCACTGTACTCTAGCCTGGGCAACTAGAAAAAAATAAAAAAGAGACATCTATAAAGCACTCCACCCAGCAACAACAGAATATATATTCTTCTCAGGTGTAGATGAAATATTCTTCTGGACAGACTAGAGATCAGAAGCAATATAAAATAGAATAGAAGCAACCTAAAATATGTTCTCTAGCTACAATGAAATGAAATACGAAATCAGTAACAGGAAATTTGGGGAAACACACAGATACGTGTAAATTAAACACATTAAACACACTCCTATAAAACCAGCGAGCCAAAGAAAAAATCAAAAGGGAAATCAGAAAATACTTGGAGATGAATGAAAAGGAAGATGCAGCATACCAAAACTCACAGGACACAGCCAAGGCAGAATTTAGCAGGAAATTTAGCAGATGAACACATAAACAAACTGCGACATCCAGACAATGGGATATTATCCAGCACGAAAAAGAAATGAGCCATCAGGCCACGAAAACACATAGAGAAAAGCTAAATGCATGTTACTTAGTAGAAGAAGCCAATCTGAAAAGGCTATAGATTATATGATTTCAACTTTATGACATTCTGGAAAAGGCACACAAAAGAGACAGTAAAAAGATCAGTTGGCAGAGGTTGGGAGAAGGGAGAGATAAACAGATGGAGTACAGAAAATTTTTTTTTTTTTTTTTTTTGAGTTGGAGTCTCACTCTGTCGCCCAGACTGGAGTGCAGTGGCCGCTCCCGGCCACCGCAGCCTTGACCTGCTGGGCTCTGGCGATCCGTCCGCCTCAGCCTTCCGAGTAGCTGGAACTACAGGCGTGCACTACCACGCCCGGCTGATTTTTTGATTTACTGTAGAGATGAGGTCTCGCTGCCCAGGCGGGTCTCGAACCCGTGGGCTCAGGCAATCCACTCACCTCAGCCTCCCAAAGGCGCGGGATTACAGGCTGAGCCACCGAGCCCGGCTAGAAAATTTTTAAGCAGTGGAAATATCCTATATAATATTGTATTAGTGGACACATGTCATCATTCATTTGTCAAAACCAATCAAATGTACAAAACCAAGAATGAACCCTAATATAAACTGTAGACTTCAGGTGATAATGATGTATCCCTTGTAACAAATGTACCACCTCAGATGCAGGATGCTTGTAGTTGAGGTGGCTGTGCAGATGTGAGGGCAGGAGGTATATGGGAAGTCTCTTCTTCATACTCATTTTTTCTGTGCACCTAAAGCTTCTCTAAAAAATAAAGCCTACTTAAAAGGGGGGGAAAGCCGGGTTCGGTGGCTCAGCCTGTAATCCCACGCCTTTGGGAGGCTGAGGTGAGTGCATTGCCTGA